CTTATGAAGAGGAAATCTGGATGCACAAAAGGACACTGGGAATGTGGGGGCAGCAGAGGAAACACCATATGAGGACACAGCAAGAATGTGGCCATCTGCAAACCACGAAGACAGAAATCCAGGGAAACCAAAAATTGATCTAGGACTTCTAGCCTCCAGAACTGTGGAAAAATAAGTTTCTGTTGTTTAAGCCACCCAGTCTGCGTTTGTTTTATGGAAGTCGTAGCAAATTTTATTATGGCCAAAAAAACCCATGAGTTTACAGCAGACTAGTGCATTGTTGAAGAGTTTTAGAAGAGCAAATGCAAACTGTTCAATATTGTTTAATTTCTTTATAAGTGAAATTCATAAAATAGAGAGGAAAGAAAGAACAGGATATGGAAAAGGACTTTGTATGTAGTCTGGAAGTACAAGCAGCAGAAAGTTTAACATTCCTTCCCAGGATGTAGTTAGCTCAATAGCAGATGATGCTGAGGCATGAAATATGAAAAAAAAATTGGTCAAGGCAGCCAGATGAGATTCACTACTCCCCTGCCACCCACCCACACACACAAAGAGGGGATTGGCATGGAAGGTATCTATCTATTTCTCATGGGTTCGTAATGTATAAGCCCCAAAGCTTATTACCCTGAGTGAGGCTAAGGAGACACCAGAAAGATGTAACTGGACAGCATGTCAGAGGTGACTGAGAAGCAGTTGGATCCCAGTGAGGCTATTCACAAAAAAGCTCTGTGGAATGTTAAGTGGAGCAGATGTGTGTTCTCAGTATAAGCGTTAGGCATTGGGCTTAAGGCTCACCAGGAAACTGGCCAGAAGATGACATCAACTGCTGTCAGCAGCTGAATACTGAGTAGCTATACTCTCTACCTGAGAAGCATAAGAGATCAAAGGAAGCCTACAGCCAGCATGCACCCATTGATAAAACACATTTCCCCACCTTGCTGCTGCCCAGAAGTTACCAGGTTGCTAGTGGTGTGGGGCATTAGGAGTGGGAAAGAGCTGTGTGGTGTTTGGAAAAGAAGTCTGTTAATACTTGCAAATCTGACTGAAACCACTGAATAGCACACATTACTCAGATTTTTGAAAGTTATATCAACTGAAGTTCAAGTTCTATGCCCCAAGTGGCAATCAGCTGATTTATAGCAATCAAACATATTAAGACTTTCAATCGTGTGTGTGTGCATCTAAAGGGAAATCAAAATGCATCTAATCCTTACTGGTACTCTATTTTATCCACATATAGGAGGAGGGTGACTGAACTAGATTTGCCAGATTATAAAATATAGTCCTCTGTCACAGTTTTTGAGTGTGAAACTTCCAAGGGAGCTAAAGATAGCTCATTTGAGCATGCTCCCCCACCCTTTGGTTTCTTTCTTTCTTTCTTTCTTTTTTTCTTTTTCTTTCTTGCAGTCAGTGTGGTAATTATAATCCTTATTACTTTTATGAAACTTCCTCCTCCTCCCACATGACAGCTGATTCCCTGGGGCCTCTATGAGGAGCTCAGGATTAAAGGGAGAAAAAGTCTCCCTTTCTTCCTGTCTTATTTCCTTCCTTTCTTCCCCGCCTGGTGGTCTTTCTTAGCTATGCTTTTCTTTATTTTCCCACAGAGTCGGAAATTGGAGAATCTGTAGATGGTAGGGAATAACACACAAGAAAGGTCTCATGATTAATTTTCATCTGAGGTCACTGTCCTAATGTTCAGAAAAACACTGGAGGCTTTGCCGGGTGTGGCCAGATCCTTGGAGGTCTGCTTGGAACTTGGCTTCAAGGCAGCAGGGTGTAACGAAGTACAACTTCACCTGCCATTTGCCTTGGTCTTTGTTTTGTCCCAATATGTATATTCCTAAATACTATATCAAAATATTTAAAATACCCTCAAGTTAAGCTGACTCGAGTGTTTTAAAATAAATTTTTTAATTCTTCAGTCTTCCCTGGTCTTTAACTACCTTGACATTTTGAAGAATATTGGTCAGTTATTTTGTAGGATGCTCTCAATAGGGGTGTGCTTGATGTTATCTCATGATTAGAAAATGTTGTCAAGAATACCAAGGAAACCACATTATGCCTTTCTTAGTGAATCATATGAAAAGTTATATGAATATTAAGAATATTACTACTGTGTGAGCACCTTCATGTTGATCAGTCAGTGCCAGTTTGATAGTGAGTACATGTGGTGCCTATTCATCATACATTTTTCTTCAAAGAGGATATATGATTGGCCAATGAACACATGAAATAATGCTCAATATTATTAGCCATCAGTGAAATGCAAATCAAAGCCACATTGAGATACCACTTCACACCCACTAGGACAGTTATCATCAAAAAGGCTAATAATAGCTGTGCTGAGGATGTGAAGAAAGTAGAACCCAGATGCACTGCTGGTGGGAATCAAAATGTTGCTGCCTATTAGGAACACTCTGACAGTTCTTAAAGCGAGCTAAACAGAATGACCATATGACCTAGCAATTCCACGCCTAGATACAGACTCAAGAGAAATGAAAGCACATGTCCACACAAAAAACTTAATACAAATGTTAACAGCAGCATCACTCACAATGTTTAAGAAAAAAACAAACACACATCAGCTGATGTATAGAAAAATAAAATGTTTTATATATATCTCCATGCAATGGAATATTACTCAGTTGTAAAAAGGAATGAAGTGCTGATACATATTATGATATGGATGAACCTTAAAAACATTATACCAAGTAAAAGACCCAAACACAAACAAACAACATATATTGTATAATTCCTTTTATATGAAATAGTCAGAATAGGCAAATCTCTACAAACAAAAGTAGTTTAGTGGTTGCCTAAGGCTGAAAGATTGGCGAGAAATGCTAGGTGACCGCAAAAGGGTAGAGAGTTTCTTACTGGGGTTCTGGCATCAAATAGTAGGGATGGTTGAAAAATTCTATGAATGCATTTTTAGTATATTGAATTGTATACTTGAAATTGGTGAATTATATAGTATGTGAATTAAATTTCAATAAAGTTGCTATAAAAACTTATGTTGGGGTATGGCATTTACTGTGACACAGTTATGAAATAAATTTGCAGGTCAAACTTATTTATAGAAAATCCTTATTTATATAATAACAATGTCCACAAAAACATTGTTTTCTTTTTTAGTAAGGCAAAATTTATTGGCGTATATTTAGAAAAATCTTATTCTATGGACCTTTGAAATTCTTTTTTAACTTACGTGAAGTCCAATTTTTTCACCAGGCAATATGTGTGTCAATTAACAATATTTACTAGGAGTTTGCACAGTGTAATTTAATTTCAGTCTATGACTAATGAGCTATGTGTTTAAGTGTCAGCAGACCTTAGTTTAACATTTATTTATGTGTGCAACAAGTAAGCTGGAGTAGATATTCAGCATTATAGTGTATGATTATGTACAAAGATGGTATGGCAAAATATTGAACATATATGGTGAGTTCTATGAATGTTCAATTAATTGGTATTAAAATAATTTTCTATTACTTTTTTTTTTTTTTTTTTTTGAGACAGAGTCTCACTTTGTTGCCCAGGCTAGAGTGAGTGCCGAGGCGTCAGCCTGGCTCACAGCAACCTCAATCTCCGGGGCTCAGCGATCCTACTGCCTCAGCCTCCCGAGTAGCTGGGACTACAGGCATGCGCCACCATGCCCGGCTAATTTTTTTTTTTTTATATATATATTTTTAGTTGGTCAATTAATTTATTTCTATTTTTGGTAGAGACGGGGTCTCGCTCAGGATGGTTTTGAACTCCTGACCTTGAGCAATCCGCCCGCCTCAGCCTCCCAAAGTGCTAGGATTACAGGCGTGAGCCACCACGCCCGGCTCTATTACTTTAATTGCAACAAAATGAAAGGTACCTTCTACAAAGAAAAAACAAATTACTTAATAGTTCTGTTAATCCTTTCCTTTGTACAGATTGCAGGCTTACAAATGTACAGAATAAAAGTATTTCTATCTGGATAGAAATAAATTTTGATTTATTTTTGATAAAATTGCTGCTGGGAAACTCTCATTTTCTCAATTAGGCAAGTAGAGGTAAGGCAGTAAAATTCTACTTTAAAACAGTATTGGAAATTCATGATTTCTAAATTACCAACCTATTCCATCTAGAATTAAATCTCAGGAAAGAATTTCCTTTTTCTGGATTTATTGGACTTGGCACATCACTTCAAAAACTATCAATTCACTTACTAAATTTAAATAATCATAACCACTAGCACACAGTGGAATTTACTTAGAAAAATCAACATTTCATCTGCAATATCAAGTTTGAAATATGAAAAAATATGAAAACATAGCACATTTTTGTCTCTTTAAGAAAGAACAATGATTATTTTCACTGCTTATATTTTCTTTGATCATCCAAGTCAAAAACAACTTCTGTATTTCATGAACCTCTTTCAAAATAAACAAATAAGAACAAAAAAAAAGGTTCGATGATATAACTTTCTCCCATCTATCTTGAAATGCATATAAAAAAGTGATTATATTGCATTAACTAATTTTATAAAAGTACTTTATTATTCCATAATAATTGCAAAATCATAATTTTGAGACCAATTATGTACATAAAAGCTTTAAGATAAAAACTTACCTCAAGAACAGAAAAAAATGGCTTTAAGATCTTATAATGACTGTCAGAATTCTTGTTTTAAAGGATTTCTTTTCATATATATTGACCTTGAAAATAGAAATCATGCCCTGACCTTAGGCTTAACAAATGATGCAGACACTTAGAATTTAGGATGCAACAAATTATCTCAAGATTACTGAGAAAAGACAGCAAATCACTGTCAATTTTCTGTATGTTTTGGACTCCGTAACATGTCTACATCTATCTATCAGATGAAGATAACTGAAACAAATAGAAATATAGGTACATAACTAGCTCTATACCTGGGCTTACTATATTTCTAAATCACATAACTGCACTTAAAATTTTTTTAATATAATTTAAAATACATTATCTTAAAGAAAAAATATACTTACTGCCCTCTAGAGGTATGAACCAGCAGTGTAATAAGTGTAGATGTTGCTGGGCATATACAGTTTAAAGCTAACATGGCGTATTTAAACTCTTCTTCACAGACAACATGATCTGTTTGAAATAAAATAGGTAAATTAGAATAATTTACCTTGGGAGAGTAATATTTTTAAATATGAAAAGTAAAACATAATGAATAAAATTGTGAAAATCTCAATATAAATATACTTGTTTTAGAGATGTTTTTGCATGTACAATTTTATCCCCACAAAATACGTTTCCTAAGAAAGAGTATTAGAATATGGGTAAAGTGATTGGAGTGGGGCTAGGGCTTTAGCCCTAATTGTCTTAACAAAATTGGCAACTTTTGGTAAATGCTTAATCTTCCTACACTTCATCTTTATAAGGAGGTTGAGTTGTATGCAGTTTTGAGTACAATCTGAAAAATATATCTAATACTTTATGAAGTCTCCTTTAATTCTGATAATTCTATGGCATAAAATATAACAGCTTTAACTTAAAACAGTATTAATTTATCAAAGTCATAATGACACAGCATAAATCTCAGAAGGTAATTATTAAAAAATGTAGTCAACAATATGTGCCTAGCATAGAAGTAACAGGTTTTAAACTATGAAAAAAACTGTAGTATCAATCAACAAACATTAATGCTAAAACAAACTGAAATTGAAATTGTACTTTAACCTCAAGACTTTAAATCATAAACTCAAAAGATGATAGGGTCCAGCCAGAAAAGATAATACATGGCAATTCAAATACAATGACATAAAAACAACAAACAGTGCTAGAGGTGATAGCATGTGGGAGGGTACAGGCCACATCTACAGAATGGTTCTACTAAAGCCAAGTATATTACTATCATGCAGGAATGATAGCTCACATGCCAGATATCCTATCTTCTACAAAAGTCATTTTTAGAGAAGTGAGTAAATATTGTTTATTTTGGGAAAAAACAAAACCTCTCTATCCAAGCAAACAATTATAGCTGGTGTTCAAAATAAAGACAATATTTAAAATTCTAAGAAAATACATATTCTTAGGCAGAAAATAGCATTTTTAACTACATTAAGAAGTAGAAGATTAAATTTGTCAGTGAGCCAGATCTATAAAATGAACACATACATCATACAATTTATGAAGAAACAAGAAAAGGTTACTTGGAAGATGGTTTAGCAAATGCTTCAGTCTGCCAAATATTGACCTTAGTCCTCTCCTATTTTAGCAGATGAAAAAGCTCACTACTTTTTTTTTTTGCTTTCATTTCTTTTTTTTTCCCTCTTTCACATATTGTGGAAGAAATATATAATATGGTTATACCTTCATATTTACTATCAAAAATAACAAGGCCCTCCTAATAATAAACCTCTCTTTTAGCTTGTCAATATATTAAAATGACCTTTAAATAAAATTTTAAAAATACATTCATGCTATGTAATGTTTCACAGGAAAGACAAGCAGATTCTAAATCCAATTTTGAATGAGGAGAAATCTACAGAAGATTTGCAAAAGAACAGTGTCTTTAAAACACAACTTCAATATATCTCAGAATAATTTTTGAGTGTGTATGCTCGATCTGTGAAAACAGAGTAACAAAATTGCTAAATTCAGGATGTTATTACTTTGGAATTATATGATAGCAATACATGGGAAGCCATAAATTTCAAATTAAAAATTGAAACATGATCTGAGAAAAATATGTACATTTATTATGACATATGATAGAATTTTAGAAATCCCCACTGCAACAGAAGAGTTGGAAGGTATGATTACCATATATGCAATGCTGCATGCAATTATTAACTTTCTCTTACTATAACACACAAAACATATTTCCTTCTGTAGAGGAATGTGAGAAAATGTGGTGCATGTGTGATACATTGAAAATACCTATCTTATTCTCCTTCAATAGTTAAAAAAGTAAAAAACAAAACAGACAAAAAAAGAATCCATTCCCTTTCCTTTTCCTCAATGAATGTGTGCATCTGAGTTTGCAGGATGGCTGCAGGAAGATTGTGTTGCACTAGCTAATTTTTCAAAAACTATACTAATGAGTGAAAAATGGATGGAGGAAAAAGACTCATAAACTTCAGGTATTCATTTTTGTATTTGCATATGCCTTTTTTCTATATGAGTTAAAAGTTTCGCAGTGTCCATCAGCCTTTTGACCTAAAAGTTATATATACTACCATTAATGGCGGCAATTTTACACAGAAAGACAAAGTGTATTTAACACTGTTTTAGTGTATACTGAATTATCTAGGGATGCAGCTACTTTGTAAATTATGAGAAAATTAACTTTATGTTTAGCATTGTATGTGAGTCATCAATATAAATTTAAGACATTTGATTACTATATATTATCATTGTTAGTCATCACCTGTGGATGTGTCATGTAGTCATTGGTGAAAGCATCATTTTTCCATCTTGTTTTCTTGTGTATTCATCCCTGAGAATTCCCTATTGAAAAACTTGCTTCTTCGTTATTATTTGCCTTCTGTTTCTCTTTCATATTATAATTAGGATATTATATTATTTAAAATTTATATAGATAGTTATATTTATCCTGAATTTCATTCCAAGATAGTAAAGGAAGTGATACAAAATATTTATTGTAAAAGGGGGTACTGGATCAGATACAAATGAAAACTACTGTCTTAGATAAATAAGTTAATATATTAATGTAATTATCATGAAAGCTTTTGTTAGATACAAAGTAAAATCATCAGTATCTTCTCATTAAAAAGATCTATTTAATCTCTATGAAATGACATAAACAGAGAAAGGGATATTATAGAATATTCAATTGGATAATGATCTTCATTAGCATATATTACAGAGAGCTAAAACTTAACCTGCAAAATGGAACTGATTGTATCTCTAGACCTCTCCTCTCAGGCCAAAATCCATCCTTGCTCTTGGGACATTTTTTTTTATTTATCATATTATGGGGGTACAAGTGTTAAGGTTACTTATATTGCCCATGCTCCCTTCCCCCCTCAAGTAAGAGCTTCAAGCATTTTTTAATACTAACCACTAACCCTTAACCTCAATTAAAAAATTGAAAATATTTTTTCATGCTATGTTGTCCTTCATTTCTCAATATCACATGACAGCCAAAGTTTATTGAATATACTACTAAAGTCCTTTCTCTTTCTCTTTTTCCCCATTTCCATTCTCACAATTTACTACAGGTTTCCAATCCTTATCCATAATTCTTAAGGGTCAGATATCAGATTTCAGAATTTTAAAAAATTCAGATTTTAGAAAGGTAATATGTATCATCTACCAAATAATTTCAGGTTAGTTGATATTTTCCACCAAGAAGAATACAAAACCTTTTTAGAGTGTTCAGGATTTTGGAATTCCAGCTAGGAGGTTGTGGACTGTTACTCCACCTCTGACACTCTCACCTAGGCTAATGCAACAGCTTCCTTCCTAATTGGTCTTCTTGTCTTCCAACTCTTCAGCATTCTGTCTCATGAAAGTTGATTATATGAATTGGGTAACTCTGGTCATACCCAACTAAATCTGAGTCGAAAAGCCAGGGATAAAAAGCACTTGGAACACATAGCACCTGCTCCAAGAATTTAATTTTCCCAAAGCAAGCTACTAAAATGGCCTGCTCTGACCCTCAGACAATGTTTACCTAGTAGCTGCTAAAAATACCTGCCATGACTTTCAGACTGGTTTTATCTACCACCATTCTCACCAACCAGGGTTTGCCAGCTCTCCAAAGCTTTTATAGTGCCAATGAGCTTTCTTTCAAAAAAAAATCAGAACATTTATCTTTTTAATAAAACCCCTAAACTTCTCTCTGTTTTCTGGACATAGCAAAGATCATTACGATCTGCATGTATGCCCTGTGATTCTGTGATTCCCAAATAAACTGTTTAGAGACTGGTCTCTATATTTTATTTTGACTTTGGCAACCAGTTACACTTCTAAAACTAAGATGTCTAATACAGTAGCCACATGTAGCTGTTTAAATTTAAATAAAAGAAAAGTAAATACAAATAACAAAATACAGTAAACAAAACACAGGATCTCCATCATACTAGCCACATTTTAAGAGCTCAATAACACTTGTGGCTAGTGGCTACAGTATTGGACAGTGCAGATACAGACATTTCCATTATCACCAATAGTTCCATAGGACAGTCCTAATTGATCTGCTAAATGAATTAATGACCTTCCATAAATCCTAAAACATACAGGATATATTTCAAATTCCTTAAATGTGATTCATAGACAATCAGAATTGAGTGATCTTACTAACATAATGTATCACCTTTTCCATGCCTGCTTCTCAGTCATATAGCTTCTAAAATTGTTCATCTGTAATAGCAGAAGAGAAGGTAGAACATATGGGTATAAATGCAGGTTGGTGGGTAGATGTGTTGGTGAAAGCTTATAAAAGTTTTGTTTTTCTTCCTATATGGTCTTTTTAGTGAAATAGGTATAAATGATGATTAGGGAGGAGTTTGGAGATTGAAAGTTGCAGATTGTCTCTTCCTTGTTTGTTCTGTTTCCTTTAGCCACATTCAAATGCATGGCAGTTAACGCCAAAAACCCAGAGAATTAGATTTAACTAGGGCTGACTTTTGACATACGAGTAAAACTAATGGAGAAAGGGTCAAGTAACCGAGAATAAATTGAAAGTAAGGATTATAATGATGTGCTCTGAAATGTAAACAGGCTAAGAGGGGAAGACAGGACCTGTGGGTGTAAATGATAGTAAAAATGTGGCAGGAGAAATGAATCGTAGATCCCATATATCAAAAGATAGTTGAGGCCGGGCGCGGTGGCTCACGCCTGTAATCCTAGCACTCTGGGAGGCCGAGGCGGGCGGATTGCTCAAGGTCAGGAGACCCCGTCTCTACCATAAAAATAGAAAGAAATTAATTGGCCAACTAATATATATAATATAAAAATCAGCCGGGCATGGTGGCTCGTGCTTGTAGTCCCAGCTACGCGGGAGGCTGAGGCAGCAGGATTGCTTGAGCCCAGGAGTTTGAGGTTGCTGTGAGCTAGGCTGACACCACGGCACTCACTCTAGCCTAGGCAAGAAAGCGAGACTCTGTCTCAAACAAAAA